CCTCAGAGCTTTTGTACTTGCTGTGTCCCCTGCCTGCACCTCCTTCCAGGATGGCTCCCACCTGGCGTTGCCATCCTGGAAGGATGTGGGCTCCCTGTGGCTCACTTCCTTGGTAAGTCCCTGTCTGACCCACATACTCTTCGTTGCCTTTCATCACCAGCTGGGCTTTGTTCACTTGTTCACTTGGTTCTGATTCCCTCTTTTTTCAACTGACCCCCTGGGAATGTAAACCCCAAGAGCTTTTACTGTGTCTCTGAGACCTTGTCCCACTGTGAGTGTTCATTAATTTTTAAAAAGTGAATAAATGGATAGTCTGGGGAATACAAAATGCCAGCCAACTGTTGAAGAACCTATGATGAGGAACTGGCCCTCTTGGGATCGAGGGCTCTCACGCCTTCTTACTCTCTGTCCTCACCTGAGGCAGACATCACTAATCTAACACAGCACATTTGATTCCATGGAGCCCAGGCAGGACTCTGAGCTCAGATCCTCACAGCCACTAGCTGTCCTGAGGGTGAGTGGGAGGAAGAGGGCATGTGGTGCCCAGTGTGAGTGGGCTGGCAGCCAAGGTGACTGGCTCTTGAGGATGTTCTGGGAGTCAGGAAGGCTTCCCTGAGGGGGTGGCAGTATATGTTGGAAAGGCACTGAGGACGGAGGCTGGGAGGATGATGATTTGGAGAGGGTGTGAAATAACCTAAGTCTTGGAGGTAAGAGTCAAGTGGACATGTACCAAGACAATAACATCCAGCCTGTGAGGAGAGGCTGTGTCAAGGTGCTGGGGGAAGGAGGTACTTGCCTGGCCCTAGTCAACTCCCCCAGCATGTCTCTGCGTAGCACCAAGTGGAGACTTCTGGTCTGCCAGTTGGAAGAAGAAGCCAATGGGATGTGAGGAGTGACGAATGAGCAATGCAGAGAATATTCCAGAACATAGTCCTAGGGGTGAGATGGATTTTTACCATAAGGAGTAGGACAGATCCTTTGAGGTCCCAGCTGCCAGATGCAGCTGTTCCTGACACTCAAACACCCCCTCCATGCCATCCCATCTTCTCTTCTTTCCTCGGTTCCACCTGGCTGGTGGGGGCAAGTCTCCCTTTTCCAGGAGACCTAGAGACCATGAGGGAGGGGTGCTTTGGTGGGCAGCTTCCTTGAAGGGATCGAGGTCTGGTTTTAGGAAAAGAGCATTATGCTGGTGAGAAAGCCATTCCTAGTCACTGCAGGAAACCCGGGGAAGATTTGACAAAGGTAAGTAGAGAGAAGAGGTGAGACAGTGTGAGAGATGTCCAGAGGGTGTGGGTGTGAGTGCTCTTGCTTTTATACGTACATGCAGGGACACACACAACACACACATGTGCACAGTGCAGGCCCCAGGGCGGCTGTGTCCCCAAGGGGTGCCTGTGGAAACCTCCCACTGTCCGTGTCCATTCCTCTTCTTTGCTGACCTGGCCTTTTCCCATGCTCAGCTAGTGCTGTGTCACCTTCACCATTCTTTTTGTAGATTTCAAGGTGAAAATTGCTGAGTCAGGGCTTCAACTTGACAAGTTCCACCCTCCATGGGCATCCGGAGCAGTGCTGATGTGTCTTTTGGTGAGTCTGTGAGCTTCTGCCAGGCCTATGCCCAGGTCAGCCTTCTGGGCCTGCACAGGCTCAGCTTTCAGCACCATCAGACCACCTCCCACACAGCTGTCCCAGGTGACACTTCACCCCCAGCAGCTTGGAGTTTTGGTTGTGCCACCTCCTCACCAGTACTTGGCATTTCACTTTTGCTTTTCTGGTGGGTGTGCAGGAATATCACAGGGTGGCTTTAGCCTCCCTCCCCTGATGACTAATGAAGCTGAATGCTTTTTCTTAGGGTTATTGCCCTTTTGTGAAATATCTCTTCAGGTCTTTTGCCCATTAAAAAAAATAGGTCTTCTGACTTTTTTGATGTGTGGAATTCCTTGAATATGGTAGGTTCGAGTCCTGTGCTGGATACATATACCTACATCTCATCTATTTCCATTTCCCAAGTCCACGTCTGTATATCCTTGTCCCTGTCCTTGTCCATATCTGTATCCTTATCCGTTTGTATATCCTTACTGCAACCATATCCACATCCCTGTCTATATCCCTATTCCACGTCTACATCCCTATCTCCATCCATGCCACACAGCACCCATAACCCATACCACATCTGCATACATGCAAACCTGCACACACAGGTGTTCCACAGGTAGGGCTCCTGTGCCCATTTGTGAAGGCATGCTGTGGTCTCTGGGTTGCAGTAATGCACAAAGACCTTGTCCTCACGAAGGTTTTATTCTCTTTAGAACAGACTAACAAATAAGGATGTGGAATGAATAATCCAGAGGAGAAATGTTCAGTGGAGAGGAAGGAGTGCAGGAGTGGAAGGTGACCTTGTAAATATGCCACTGAGAAGGTGACATGTCAACAGAGCCTGGAGGAGGTGCCCCCTGACATGGGTGTGTACATTCTACCCAGGCCCAAGGAGAGGGAGCTGAGGTCTTATGTGGGATCAGGCTAACAGGGCCCGAGGTCACAGGACTCTGGCTGTCATCATGGTTGGAACAGAGCCACTGGAGGTTGTTGGCAGAGGAGGGACAGGACCTGATTCAGGCTCTAACGTCTCTTCCGTCTACAGCCTTGAGGCAGCAATGGTGGACCCTCATTGAGAGCCTATTGCTGTGGTCCAGCCTCCTGCCCTACACTGGTGAGGCCAACCTAGGTCTCTTCCATGCCCTTTGCTCTGTTGTCCTCAGAGTGGCCTCTCAGGGTCAAGGACTGTTCCAGGCCTCATGCCCAGCCATTGTCTAAAACAAGGAGGGGACCGTCTCCTCCTATGTGCCTTGTCTCCAGAATCCTCAGCAGATATCCACTGGTCACGCCACACTTGGCTCCTACTCCACTTTCCAAAGCTAACCCTGGCAAGAGCAATGGGGTCCTGTAGCAGGTCCCACAAACCCTCCCTTCAGGACAGCCCCACTCACAGCTTCAAGCCCAAGAACATCTGGCAGGGGTCAGCCTCCAGATCCTTGGGCATCAGGAAGTCTACAAATCTGGTGCACATGAATGCTGAGATCACCCAGAGCAAAGGAGACAGCTCCATCCGTGTCTGCAGAGAGCGGGGCAGATATGTGGGGAAGTGGCTCCTCACCAAGGTCCTAAGCAATGCTGGTGACATGTGGATGAGCATGATGGGAAGTAACTCTGGGACAGTGTGGGAAGGCAGCAAAGGGGTTGCACACCCATCAACTCCTCCTGTAGATAGCTGTGTCCACAGAGGCAGAGGGATGGTGGAAGCAGGGCTGTTAGCTGTCTTTGTGGACTCTCTGAGGAACTCCATGGCCACATTAGGACCCAGAGGTCCAGTAGGGTCATAGGACAGGGCTGAGGAAGGCAGGGGCAGGTATCTGACAGGCCTCTCCTGTGGTAAGACTCCAGCTTCACCCCTCTTGGTACTCGAACAGTCATAAGGGATGGAGTGGCCATGAGGGCACAGATGGTTACTGACACCACCAGTCACCTTCAAAGACCACTGTGAGCTTTGTGTCCTCTGGATGGCTGGACTCAGGATGCAGGGAGAGAAGGGGGAGGAGGGCAGTGGGAGAACTGGTGCTGCGGTGGGGGGGTTGATGATATCTGGTACCTCCTTGGGAGACTCCAAAACTGTGAGGAGTGGGGTGGATCCCAGGGCCAGCACTAGCTGGTAGAGAAGAAGTTTGTGAGTGGGAGGACACCTGTCTCCAGACCCTGGTGCTCCTCTGGAAGGTCAGTGAATAGACTCAGCACAGCACCAGATTCCTAAAGACAGAAATAACAGTCCATCAAGACAGCTCCGAAGCAAGTCTTACTGCTGGTAAGAAAGCAGGCAAAAGAGAAGGAGGAGCTGGGGGGAAGATGGCTGTCCCACCAGGCTGCTGGGAAGAGAGCAGGCCTCATGGGATGGTGGGGGTGCATCTGGACACGGTCAGGGTCATCATTGTCCATCCAGGTCTAGTTGGCTTTGCCTGTGCGCTCTCCCGGGGTTACTCAGCCTTTCCCTGGGCATTCCTTGCTCCTCTCTGTAGGTTCCAGCTGTGAGTATCTCTCCCCAGTGGTGGCACAAGTGGCCAGCTCTGACTCTCCCAGAGCTGGCCCCAGCTGTGTGCATGCTCAGTCTCTGCCTTTCCAATTCCAGATCCCCCGGAGAGGGCGCTCTTCCGCCTCGTAGTCTTTGCCATCCAAACTGTCCGAGCTGTGCTGGGGGGCACGGCAGGCACACGGTGGAGGGGGAGACGAAGCACCTGATGGGATTCCTCCTGAGTGCGGTGCTCCTGGACGCGGAGTGACGCCTCACAGTGCCACGTGCCAGGAGCGCCCCTCGCTTCCTCTCAGATTAGCCCTCCCGTAACAGCAGCGGCCGTGGCCCCCGTGTTCAGTCGGGAAAATGGAAGGACAGAGAGGTCCACGAAACGCCTCAGGCCGGAGCTGTGTGTACTGAGTGCCCTGTAGGGGAGGCATCAAACCAAGCGCTGCCGGGCACCTGCTGTCGCTCTGTAGTGGGCGTCTACGATGAGGTGCGGTTGGGTAGGAAAGGCCAGCGGGAGGAGACGTGGTGCGGGGGCACAGGGGGTCCGGGTGAGCCGGACGTCATTGGCCCGACCGCCCCATCCTGCGCTGAACGGGATCCACCCGCGCGGCGCCCCCAAAACTCAGCTCCTGACCGTGCGCCCCGCCCACGCGGCGCCCGTCGCTGCGCCACCCCTGTCCCTTGCTTGTTTGCGTCCTGCCCCGACCCACTCCCACCTCCACCTCCTGGCCCTACCCCGTTCCGGCCCGGACCCTGCGGTCCCTCGGTCCCCACGCTTCCCCGGCCCCGCCCCTGGCCCCGCCCCGCCCCTCGGGCCAGGAGGTGTAGACGCGGGCGTGGGGAAGCCCGCGGGCAGGCTGCGCGTGCTCGGCGCGCGGGGAGACGGTCACCGCTCGCTGAACACCAGCCGGGGCGGGGACGGGAGCAGGCAGTCAGGATGTTTCTGGAGCCCCAGGTAGGGATGCGGTGCGGTGAGGGGCAGATGCGGGATGGCGGGTCGGCCGGGAGGTGGCGAAGTGGACACGCTGGCCGGGCACTGCCTTGGATGCAGCAAGACCACGGGTTCTGGCGCCACTGAGCTCGGGAAGCGGGGCGTCCGTCCCCAACGTCACTGGCTGGGCCGGGAGGGAGCCCGTCCTGAGGAGCCACTGCGGCTCCCTGTCCGTGTCCCTACTCGGGCACCTGCCACCAGGTGGGCCATGCTCAGGCTGCTGTCGCTGCTTGGCCTGTGCCTGGAAGGGGAGGCAGGAGAGGGTAGGGGCTGCCCAGGTCCGGCACCGTCAAGCTTGGATCCTTGCCCAGGCTTGGGCTCGGAACCACCTGTTTGCCCCAAGGAGGACGTGCGGAGAGGGGGGTGGGCCGCGGTGGAGTGGGCACGGGGGAGGCAGGTGCGGTGTGGGCCAGAGCAAGGGCTGTTTATATATTGGATGGGGTAGTGAGAACAGCGAGTGGCGGCTGTGCGGACTGGACTCAACCCCGAATGCAGGGCTATTTAAAGAGAGGGCTGTTCTGCAATCAGGCCTAGCCTGGGACCATATTGCATTTCCCCAGCTGTTTTACTAACAGCCTCTGGTGAGCCTGCTGGCCAGTGTGTTCAGCTGCCCAGGTCTGGTGCCCATCTGTTTCTTCACCTACCCCCCACGCATGTTTTGCACACTTGCTGTGAGATGAGCCAGAAGCAAGCACACTTAGGGCTGGAAAGATAAAAGAGCAGAAGAGATGGGTAAAATGCAGGGACTGTTACGTGGTGCTAAGGGCTACAGTGAAAAAGCAAAGTAGGAAAGAAATGGAACGTGAGGAGTTGTCACAGGCAGCTGGAGTTAGTCTGTAGTGACAAATCAGCTCCTCAAACCCAGTGGTTGTAATGACGTGTACAGTTTTCACTCAAGTGGTGTCCGTCATGGGTCAGCAGGCCCTGCCTGGGGACCAGGCTGACAGGGTCCTGTGGCAGGACAGAGAATGTCCTGCACTGAATCTAAATACACCATCCCAGAATGACACGTGCCACTCCACTGACTGAGGGAGAGCCAGAGGCCTCGTGGCACTGGGTCCTGTCACGATAGCCCTACTCAGCCCGCAAGCTGGTGTCCCCACACTTGGTGCCCTGTGTGCTGACCACAGATGTGGAGTGGCATTTGCACCTTAGGCAAGGCGTCAGTTGTGGCCTCAGAGGTGTGCCATGTGCACAAAGATGTGACAAAGGGGAGCAGGAGGGGGCTCCCTGGGATGGGGAGGGAGCACATCCGAGGCCCAGGGTGGGGAACCGCCTGCTTGTCCAGGGTCAGATTAGAGGCTGAGGTGACAGGATATAGGGTCAGCAGGCTAGGAGGATCGGAACTGACTGGACTGTAAAGGCACTGCTGGGCTGTTGTGTGGAGGGCTGAGGACAGCCACTGGCCATTTCAGGGGCCAGGGGACAGATGATGCATTCTGCTGGGAAAGCCAAGAGGCCTTGCAGCTGGTGAGATGTGATGAGGCACGAGGGACTGTGGACAGGGAGGAGTTGGGAACTCCCTGAAAAGGCTGGAGATGGCCAGGGGAGAGTGTGACATGATGCACGGCCTGGACTGGACTTGTCAGTTTGGAGCCAGTTTGCTCCATCCTGGGGACTTCTGTGGCCTCCCAACCACACTGCCTGCCCCTGCTCAGCTAGCTCAGGACAGTGAGGACCTGGCCTATCTTGCATGCTTGGTCCTTCCTGTCTGAGCTCCCCAGCAGAGCCAAGGGGCTCCAGACCTGGGGATCTTCAGCCCTCAGAAGCACAGAGCTGGGAGAAAGCAAGCCACTTGGGTCAGCTGGCCCTTCTGTGTCTTGGAGGTCCAGGCCTGGTGAGCACATGGTGCATCAGGACACCTCCATGCTGTGCCCAGAGTCCTGCCAACCACACAGGGAGTGGCAGAGAGGACACTGCTTGGGGGTGTCATACCCTCATGGAAGGCAGAGTGGCCTGCACCTGGGCTCCTTGGGCCTTATCCTCTGAGGAGCTGTGCAGGATGACCAGGGCAAGGCTAGATGGGTCACTCAGGAGGTCCAACTATTCTGTTTCCTTGCCCTCCCCTCCTAGCCCATGGGGAATCCCTGGTTAATCTTGGAAGCCCATTTCAAAGTAAACTCCTCTAGGAAACCCTCCCTGGCTTCTCCCTGCAGGGGTTGTTCCCCATCCCTATGCCTCCCCTAATCTCTCAAGGAGATCCCTCTTCACTGTGGTGTGAAGCCTACCTTCCCAGCAGACACTGAGGTCCTACACTGAGGATCTAGGGTTCTTCCATTCAGACACTGTGCGGCATAGTCTGAGGGGGGCGGTTTAGTGGATGTTTGTTGACTGAATATGTGAGGGAAGGAAGGAGTAAATAGGAGCACTGGAAATGCCTTGTACAGATTGTCTAGTCCTACCTTCTTGTTTTATACACGTTGGCCCAGAGAGTCCATGGCTGCCTAAGGTCATGGGTCAGAGCTGCTTCCTGTTCCAGGTTGCCTCTACTGTGCCAGGTTGTAGGCTGCCTGGGTACTGGCAGATTCCAGGATGAGGGGCAGCTCAGAGGCAGATAGGTTGCAGGGCCCGAGGGGACCTTCCAGTAACCCCAGGGGAGTGGTTGGGGGAGTGTGGGGATGGCATGGGGTCTTGGGAGGAGGAAGACAGCCCAGAACTCTGCAGCCCCTGAGTTCCTGGTCGTGTGGCCTGTTGGGCAGGCCCCCTGTTGTGGTCCCAGGCTCCAGGGGAACAATCCCCCCACCCCCAGCTCCCCCGCGCCTTCCTGGCTGCCTGGCCCCTGACATTTCCCAAATGTCAGTGCAGCTGCGTGTGAGCCGCCCCTGCCATCCTGGGCCTATGAGGGTGAGTCAGAGGAGCTCTGAGGAGCCCTAGCGGCCTCTGGGAGCCAGGCCACCAGCACAGGGTATCCTGGGCTCTCTCAGCCTCACTCTTCCAGGGTCAGGTGTTGGCAGACAGGAAGCCATGGCCCCTGAAGCCCATCCACAGCAGTAGGGGAGCTTCAGGAACCTTGCCTCCCTGGGGGCCAACCATGTGAGCATCACAGAACGGGAGCGCCTGTTCAGGAGGTTGAGCCCAGCAGGGCAGCCAGGGTGAGTGTGCACGGTCACCTGTGTGTGGCCAGGGCCAAGGCTGCAACCTGGCTGATCTACTTGGCAGAGCAGCCCACTGGGGACAGTACTGTCCCTAGACCATCACTGTGGGGCCTACAGGGCTTGGAAGGCTGAGGAGACACACAGACACACAGACTCAGAGACACACAAACAAACAGAGATGCATACAGACAGGGAGACATCCACAGGCAGATATAGACACAAAGACATAGAGAGAGATATACATGGAGACAGAGACATACACAAACCCAGACACAGAGACACAGAGAGAGATACACAGATTCACAGAGGCACAGAGATACAGACAGACACAGACACAGAAACACATACAGACACACAGACCAGACACAAAGACACACTTAGAAGTAGTTATACACAGACACAGAAAAGCAGACACATGTGTCTGCAGTACATGTGTACAGGCATGCACAGTTACAGAGATACACACAGACACAGATTTACAGATACATACACACAAACACAAAGACACACAGACACAGACACATAGCAGACTCATACACACAGAAATACATGGGTTCACACAGAGACACATAAACAGACACACAGATACACACACACACACTGGGACACACATACCCAGACACCTACTTAAATACAGACTTAGACACACATGTACATACTCAGATACACTTAGACATATGCATATACACAGATATACACACACACAGGCACACACACTCCAGCACACACACTCTTCCATGGTGCTGCAGTGAACATCCCAGAACCTACTCCTATGTGGGGACCCCTGTACCCAGGGGAGGCAGATATCCCTTGGTTTTTAAGAAATTTATGTTAGATAATTGATCACTCAACTCTTTTATTAGTTTGAACAGATTTTTAGTTTGATTTCTGGAAAACAAAAGAAATTAAACGTTTTACCTGCTTTGTTTCTATTGCAACTTTTATTTATTTTCTTAACATTTGGTGTTTTCCAAAAAGGGCAAAGTAACCTTAAGTAATAGCAGGCAGGCATCCTCAGCCTAGTCCCTTCCCTGTATGGAGAAGGCCTGAGTGTTTCATTGAGTCTGAACTTGGCCTGATGGCACACAGCTATTCTTCATCATAAACAGCCACCTCACTCATGGTTGTCAGGCATGTACACCAAGAATGGATATTCAGTTCGTCAAAGGCCTTCCTACACCTACAAAAGCAATCAGATGTCTTTCCTCCTTGAATGTGTTAATGTGTTGACCTGTTAGCTTTTCTGAGCTCCTTCCTCCTTGTGTTCCTGGAATAAATCCCAGTGGGTCAGGCTCTATTTGCTTAAAAATGCTGTTGCGTTTGTTTTGCTGATGTGTTGCTATGTCTCTTAGGGCATTTGTCATTGATATTCGCAGGTAAGAATTCATACGTACTTCCTATGAGGAGATGCATTGGTCACATTTATAAATCATGGTTATTTTAGCTTCATGAAATGAATAGGAAAGCTTTTCAACATGAGTTGTATAGTTGAAATTGTTTAAATACTGAATAAAATTATCTTATTCTCGAAGGCCTGAAATAATTCATTTTAGAAACTCTCTCAGCTAGAGCTTGCTTTTATTTTTCCCTGAGGTTTAGTTGACTGTTTTTCTTAATTTGTACCATAGTTGTTGGTCTTCTTGGGTATTAAGTGTGTTTAGTCTATTTTGGTTATTTTTATTTTGAAGAAATATCTCAGTTCAAAGAGCTTTCAGATCATAGATTTACCTTGTAAATTCTTTTAAAGATTCTTCTCCATATCTGCAGTTAGATCCTTTTTCATGCCCAATTCATTTTTTCCTTCCTCCCTCCCTCCCTCTTTTTCTTCCTTCCTTCCTTCCTTATCTCTTCTCCCCTCTCCTCCCCTCC